CGAAAAATGCAGTTTTTGTACCAATTTTTTGGAATAAAACGAGTTTTTTTGTCTAAAGTAGGCATTTTACGGGAATAAAATGAGGTTTTTTTGTGTAGAAATTAAATCCGCAGCCAGGAAAAGTTTTTTGGTTGATTTCATCGGGAGTTTACTCTGTTTCTATCAATAAAGCGGTCTTTTTCTCAGATTTTATATGAATTTCGCTTAAAATTGACATTTTTAGCGAGGTTTATCGATAAATTATCGAATTATCGCCTAAAAATAGAGTGACGTGCCGGCATGGAAACCGGCAACTTTTACCGTTTTACCGCGTTCGGTAATGCCGGTAATTACCGCTGGTAACCGGTAACCGGCGGTAAAAATTTTACCGGTAGTTTACCGGCACGTGCCGGCATCAACCGGTAACATTTTACCGGCGGTTACCGGTTACCGACGGTAAAAAACCGGTAAGTTTACCGGTAAAATTTGCGATTTTACCGGCATTTACCGGCATCTGCCTTGCCGGCACGTTACTCTACCTAAAAACCTCGTTTCTGTAGTTTTAAAGGCGCATGCTCAACGTTTCTCACAAGGGTCTCACCACGATAAGAGTTTACTGTAGTATTTTTTGATTTTCACCAAAAACTGGCGTTTTGTCGTCAGAAAATGGGAAATAATGGTAGAGAAAGATTTTTCGAAGCCATTTTGAATTTTTTTCTTTAAAATGATTCAGACGGATCAAAGGCGCAAGCAATAATTTGAGAACAGTGCGACGAAAATTTCTTACTGTAATAATTTTTGATTTTTTTCGAAAATAAGGCTTTTCCAGCAACAAAAACGGGGGTTTGCCCAAAAAATTGAGGTTTACGAATATTTATATAGTTTTGCAGCATGTTAGTTGCTGACCCCATGTTCTGAAAAACGCGCCCTACCGCAAAATTGGAAGTTAGACCTGAAAATTTGATTTTTTGATGAAACTGAGTGCCCTTTTCTTAGTTCTCTTCCAGGTAGAGCAGATTTCCTCCCAATATTTAGGCAAATACTCAACTGCTCCCCCTCTACTGCTACTTCTCAACTGCTGTGGGGGTGATCAACTGTTATTTTGTAACTGCTAGTGTCTCAACTGCTATATCTGGCTCTTCTGCTATGGATCAACTGCTATTTTCGCCACTGTTGATGTCTCAACTGTTTTGGCTATAGCAATTGATCCGTAGCAGAAGAGCCAAAAATAGCAGTTGAGAAATAGCAGTTGAGTATCTACACAATATTTATTCTCCGGGGCTCATTGGTTACCATGGAAACCCTATAACCCAAAATTACCTAACACTAAACGGCCCTCGAATACATCAAGGTGCCACAAAAAAACACTTTTCGCCAATTTTCAATCAATTTTTTCCTCTCAGAATCCCAAAATTTCCCTCGATCTTTTCAAAAATTCCCTCCGAAATTCCAGAAAATTCCAGACTTTTTACTAATTTTCAATCAATTTTTTCCTTTCAAAATCTCAAAATTCCCCCAAATTCCAGATGTCCTCCACCATCCGCCACACACTCCAACAAATCTACTGGCGCGTCATCGACCACCCATTCGACTCCATCGAATCCATTCTTGCCATCATTATCCCACTTGGTGTCGTCGCTTTGATGTTCCAATGGCGCGTGAAACAGTCGATGAAGAAGCAAAAGAAGCTGGCGGCTCGGAGAGAGAGGCTTATGAAGAAATTGAAGAAATATGAGAATGGAGGAGCTGGAGAGGAAGAAGAGGATGATGATGTTATCAAGGAGGCCATCAAGTTAATGGAGGAGAAGGCCAAGAAGTTGAATTAATCTTTTTTGTTTTTTTTTGTCTATTTGAAGCATAATTTGTGGGGGTAGATACTCAAGTGCTATTAAGGTGATATTGTGCTATTGTGGCTCTTTTGCTATGGATCAAGTGCTATTTTCGAAACTTTTGATGTCTCTATGACTATAGCAGTTGATCCAAATATAGCAGTTGATCACCCCCCGTCGCAGTTGAGTGTTTACCTAGTTTTTGGGTAGATACTCAAGTGCTATTGGGGGTGATGTTGTGCTATTGATCTAGTGCTATTTTCGCCACTTTCAATGACTCATGTTCTATGAATTTTGTCTCATTTGCTGCAACTATCATAACACCAGAGCCAAAAAAATGGCGAAATAGCACTTGATCACCCCACGTAGCAATTGAGTATTTACCCTAATTTGTGATCTCTTTATCTATTTTTGTGCAATAAACCTACTCAAAGTTTATTTTCTGTTTTGAAGCATAATTTGTGGGGGTAGATACTCAAGTACTATTGGGGGGATCTTGTGCTATAGATCAAGTGCTATTTTTTGTCTCATTTGCTAGGCAAATACTCAACTGCTATGGGCGTGCTCAACTGCTATACTGTAACTGCTATCGTCTCAACTGCTATTTTCGGCTCTTCTGCTATGGATCAACCGCTATAGCCGTAGCAGTTGAGACATCAAAAGTGGCGAAAATAGCAGTCGATCCATAGCAGAAGAGGCAGATGTAGCAGTTGAGTATTTTCCTGACTTTTGTCTCATTTGCTATCACTTTTGGGTCATAACCAGGGCTGAGCGAAAAAAATCCGAAAAATAATATTTTTTGTCGATTTTTCAAAATTTTTTTTTCGAAAATTTTTTGCACAGCCCTGGTCTCAACTGCTATATTTGGCTTTTCTGCTATGGATCAATTGCTATAGCCATAGCAGTTGAGACTTCGAAAGTGGTGGAAAATAACAGTTGATCCATAGCAGAAGAGCCAAAAATAGCAGTTGAGACACTAGCAGTTACAAAATAGCAGTTGAGTATTCGCCTGACTTTTGTCTCATTTGCTATGACTTTTGTCTCATGTGCTACAGAGCCAAAAAATGGCAAAATAGCACTTGATCACCCCCGATAGCACTTGAGTATCTACCCTTATTTTTGATCTCTTTATCTATCTTTTTTGTGTAATAAACCTACTCAAAGTTTTTTTTTTGGTTTGAAGCATGATTTGTGGGTAGATACTCAAGTGCTATGGTTTTTTGGCTCTTCGGCTACGAATCAACTGCTATTTTCGCCACTTTTGATGTCGCAACTGCTATGACTATAGCAGTTGATCCATAGCAGAAAAGGCAAATATAGCATTTGAAACGCCCACAAAAAAAAAAAAACAGTAGATTACATGACTGACGAATAGCCCATTACTGAACATTTTCTACCCCTATACGATGGATATATCCTATTGTTTGATTAAAACATGAATAGATGTATACGCGAATCATCCTGATCTCAGTAGCTTGAAATTGAAAGAATTAATGGTCATAACAGAAGATAAACGAATCATATTACAGGACCATTGATAGACGCGGACAACTACCCTAAAACTGCCCTATTTATGACTCATTCCTGTCTTAGGGGGGGGCAAGAAACAGATTTTCTTGTATCGATCCAGCCAATGATCAAGTATTTTCTTCGTTTGTTT